CTTGGTGAACCTTTGAGATTTTGATATCAAGCTCTATTGAAACAGGTACGACTAACCATGATTCTGAACATTTTCGAAAAAAATGTTTGCTATTCAGTATATACACTTTACTGTATTGGGAGGTAGCTCAAGTCTGTTTAAAATCTGACAATGACAGATACAGAGATACCAAATCTAAATGGAGCGATGTTTAAAAGTTAACACTATTCATATGAGAAGTCAAAGGAATATCTCCCAGACAGAATGAAAAAAATTAACGAGGCAATCACCTCACCTGCTTGACAGCTATGCAGTGCACGTGGGTAAAGATAAACACAGACCTTAATGCAAGAAATGTGTTTTGATGATTTATAATGCACTCTTAGGCTCCAGCTTTTATTGATGATTTTGATGCTGACAGTACAGCTATAAAAGTGTTTACTGCTTATGGCAATATACTGAATATATTATATTTTTTGAATGCATAAATATTCTTCTATCTGGCACCTTATTACCATAAGAAAAGCAAAATCTGAGAAATAAATCCGTTTATTGCATCAATAATACAATATATCAGTCTGCATTGTTCACTATGTAATTCAATAACTGTATCAATCCTCTTGAATCAGCTTACCGTATATGAAAAGAGACAAATAAATGAAAATTGCTCTTGTCTAATTTATCAATTTTTCTCTAATAAAATCTCATCTAATCAAACAGACATTTTCAAGAAAATGTAACGTAATGTGATGTATCTATAGGAACTAGAAGATATATTTAATTATCCTACACTTAGTGTACTAAATGTATAATAACATTGAACAATAAATTTGATATTTATTGGCAAAATGAATATCCGGAGGATATCGTAACGATATACTCCGGGCGGAGGATATCGTGACGATATACTCCGGGTGGAGGATATCGTGACGATATACTCCGGAAACCCCAATATGCGGAGGATATTGTGACGATATACTCCGCTTGTTGATTTCCCGCCAAATTGACTCTTTTGGCATGGAATTCATTTTGCAATGATATTATACATTTAGTACACTCCTTGTAAGTGTAGGATAATAAGAACATCCTATGATTATTTTCAGAATATCATTTTAATCTACTCGGTGATATTGATATATGCACTTGTTCGCTTCGCTCTCTCGTGCAGATATCAATATCACCTCGTAGATAAAAATGATATTCCTCAAAATCATAGGATATCCTATAAATGTACATGTATGTCTATTATCAATAACACAACAGAAACATATTCAGTCCCCCAAAAATTCTTCATGTCCATTATCTTAGAAATACACAAGGATGTTTGTCAATGTAATTATAAAGTAGATTAATGCATTCAATGTATTTACATTTACAAAAGTATGAGTTTGCCGATAGGCATTAAATTTGAGGTATACTCTAATTCTGTGAATACACATATTCTTTAGCCCAAAACAGAAGCCAGTATGATTTCATTATTCAAGATATCTTCAGTAATGAACTCTCGAATCTACAATTGGATCACATTCTCTATCTCTTATCTGGGGCTTAAACCATTACAACCACTGAGTTATCCATATAAAGTAGTGGTCGGAGGTAATACCGCATTACCGGTAACGGCACTAATTTGACCTAATGCCGGCATCAAAATCTTCTTACCGGCAATGGACGGCATTCAGCTGAATTAGATTCCCGGGCGGAATCAACCAAATTCCTTCATCAGTATGATCTCTATAGTTTCTTTTCTCACTTATTAACTAAACTGTTATGTATAGAAACCGATTTGTGTACATTACTAAGTAAAATAAACAGAATTAAACCATTTTCCTGACGTTGAAGTTTCACTTTACCTATTATCGCCCGATTTGAAGTTCAGAACGAGGCTGATAATACAACGAATGAAACGTGTTTATTTTACGAGTTTATATCACATGAACCGTTAGAATCAGGATTGTTTAGTGGTTTAAAATGATTCTGAGTGGTTTTCTACTGTTTCTACAGATAAATTAAGTGGTATGTATGGCGTACTATGAGATTTTTGGCGAAATATACCCGGGGAAAACTTTTTTTTAGCTTTTTTCAAAATACTTGCTAAATAGTCGGTAAATATCGGTATTGACATACAGTAATACCGGCACCACTTTTCATTACCGGTCCGAGCACTAATATAAAGGTACAAGATGTAGCGCAAATTTTTGAGTGATATAAAGGAACTTTTTTGGATAATAGTCTATAAATAGAATTTGGTCTTTGAAGCGAATCTATTAATTAAAAGCTGTGATAAGGAGGGGAAATTATAAATTCTGTATATTAAGAATGTCGTGCTAAATGGTCCGAAAATGTACAAAGAGAACATCAGATCATAATGTTAAACCAGTATGTTCCTTCAGTCATGCCTATGGTGGAACAAGATGACATATGAAAGACACACATGGGGATTTGTAAACTATAAACCAAAAAGGTCCTGATACTCCAAGGGTTTTGCGTAATCCAGTCTTTATAATATAGACAAACTGGTCTATTTAGTATGTATATCTTGCCAATTTCCTTTAGCCACAGGTTCTAATAGGATCTGACGACAAAAAGTTACATTGATATTCCCACCAAGGGCATTGAAACATGCACATTTAACAGTGTAAGTCAAACTCATTACCAGGATCAGAATCAAATTATGGCAAAATATGACTCTATTAGTGTAAGCATATTTAGATCAAATTCAGAAAAAATTGGACTTACCACGAAACTTACAATTTACACAAACAGATGGCTGGTGTAATTACCCACAGGAAAAAATCTGACTAAAACTAGATTGACTGAGACACCTCAGAGAGGGATGAAACTGATTGCAAAAAGGTATTTTAAACTCAAGTACTGTTATAATAGTTTTTTCTCAGACACTAAGAATAAAGCTTTGGCATAGCATGCAACAATCTATTTTCTATTTTTCAAGAAGATGTCAGATTAAGAGTATACTGATTACGTCAACAACAGGAAATAATATCCAAAATGAAAAACAACTAAATCTGTATTTATCAGACATGTATTTCTCTCTCGTAATTCAAATGTTTTAATGTTTGCTTATGTAATTTTCATCAAAACCTATTAACAATGTGTTCAATATTTGTTACGAATATAAGATTTTTCAATTCTTTTATACAGGTTGTTACAAAGTTTGCTATAATGTTTAAATACAGTAAAACCTGTCTTAGTGAACACCTCTCTATAGTGAACACCTGTCTCTAGTAGACACCCTTCTTTGGCACATTCTCTACTGACTTCTGTATGAATCAAAACATACCAACACTGGATGCTTTTTACAGCAAAAATGTTTTACTGTATATAGAAAGAATTGTTGAAAAAAAATTAGAAATGAGATAACAAACAAAAAATATCTTTAATTTACGATGCTGTACTAGTATTTGTTCAGTGAATTTCAACCCATGTGTTTTTTATATTTACCAATGTTAGCATAAGGATTTTATTTGTTTATAGTTATATCCTTCCAAAAACATAAAGATCATGATTAGTACTGATGACCTTGTTAATTGTGAACATAGAGATTACTGTTAAATTTACCTTTCAAATCAATTTGCCACATCCACCAAATTCATGTACATGTATGTAAAATGATTCAGAGCCTACAATGTTAATGCAGTGCAGAAAAACAGGAGACTAAAAGTTGAGACACTTTAAAACAAAGATAAATATTCAAAGATATTCAATGTAAGAGTTCAGAAAATGAAAGAATAGGAAAATGGTTATGTAAATGCATATGAAACAATAATGCAAAGACAATCGAGTAATTAAAACAACACATGAAGAGGACAACAATGCACAAAATGTATACCTCCTTAGGAAGCAAACCTTTCAGCATTTGATATATGAGTGACGATCACCAACTGAACCTCACAAATTGCAAGTAAAAGGATATCGAGCTCAGTGGATTCCTCAGTTATTTAGTTAAAAAACTAAATTAACAACACACATATTTAGGTAAGATGAGCCAAAGATATATCATTGGATTACTATTAGGCGGGTGTATATTACCAACTTCAATATGTATATTCTATCAGGTATCACTTGTGTCTCTGATAAGAATACCAACAATGTCATCAAACACAAATATACTACACTCAATAACTGAGAAATATCCAAGAGGAATTCCAAAGAAAATAACTGATCGAGAATCAATTGAAGAGACTACATATGATAAACATATAAAAGCTAAGGTGTCGTTAGTTTACAATTTCACACTTGATGGAATAATGTTTGATGATAGTGGTCCATTCTTAAAGGTTTCCACAGATGTCCAATCAAGCCTTCTCCATTCATTCACTCCGAGACTAGAAAACAGAGTCTCAAAGATATTCCCTGATCCAGTCCATCAAAACGTATTTACTGCAACACACCCCTCAGTAATCTGGTTCAATGGGGAAATAGTTTTAACAGCAAGGATCTGGTTACAAAATGATCACTATACCGAACAAAATAAGAGGCCACTCAATATGTTTAGGGACAATCACATCTTTATACAACGACTGAACAGAAATCTAAAGCCATTAGATAGAGGACAGCTACTTGGTATTCCAACACAGGTTTGGGGTTCATTAGGTGAAGGAGGACCACGTCATGCAAAACTGTTTGTGAAAAAAGATAAACTCCATATTAGTTTTAATACAGGCATTAGCCTAAGTCAAGCCCTATATGTAGACCATCCAATCATCTGGAATTTTGAAAAGGGAGAGACTGTTGTACCAAAAGTAAAAGGAGGTACACCATTCATGACACCATTCACTGGGAATTGGCAATATGAAAAACACTGGATGGCACTAGATCTACCAAATGGATTCCATTTTGTGTATTCCATTGATCCTTTGAGAGTTTTAAAATGTGTTGATTCCATAGCCTCATGTCAGTTTGTCAGCAATGATAATCTTCCAAATGGTACAAATCCAAAAAGTGGACTTCATTTACGTGGTGGTGCTCATTTTGTCGAATATGTATCCTCATATTACATAACAGTTGGTCATACTACCATGTATAAGATGGCTAACAACTTGCGTATCTACGGGGCAAATATCATACTCATCAGCACATCACCAACCTTCCGAGTCATATACGTGAGTGGCCCAATAAAGGTCTCTCCAAAGATTTTGCATCGCATAAAAATTAAGCGCAGGGAGCTTGTCGATGATCCATTTATTTTTCCGTGTAGTGTTATTGTCGAAGATCTTGATAATCTTGCTATTGGTGTGAATGTGAATGACATGGCCAGTGTAGTGATTCGTATTACTGGTATTAAGGAGATGTTAGACAGAGTTATTAAAATAGATAAGGAGAATGGTACTAAGAAAGGACCAACACCAGGAAGTGTACAAGAATCTGTATTTCACCTTATGGAAAAGGTTACTGGGCAAAACTTTCACAGTTAGATCCATTTGAATGACAGAGAATGAAAATATAGTTTTGATTTATACTGGTGCATCATACTCATTTAGACCCTTTAAAACATGTCTTATTTTAACATAATCTGAACACTTTTGGAGAGAAAGTAAGAGCTCATACTTTGGATGTACATGCATTGGTTCTGAGATTATCTAAGCGTTATAATGTTAAGCTTTGCAGCTCAGAATTTCAGGGTCAGTTACGGCTACTTTAAATGGTTGGTAGGAATTTGGTGACGGGCACTGTGAGACAAAAAATGACATAACCCTTCGGCAAATTAAAAAAACAAATGCTTTAATTTCTAAAAGAACAACTTAACAAAAATGAAAACCAAAAGATGTCACTGGCATCAGGAAAATGTATTATTATCAGTGATCTCCCCAATATTAAAGCAAGTAGGCCCAGCACCAACCTGAGATTTTAAAAACAGGTTTGCACCCACCTGATATTTCATTTGTATCCACTTGAAAGTGAGAAAAATCATGTAAAATGAGCATATTTTGACCAATTTTAGACTGAATTTTGAATATGAGAATTTGCACCCACTTGAGAAAATATCCTGGGGAGAACACGGATAACTAAAGTCCTGATCCCCAAAAGACCCCATGGGATTCAATTAATCAAAAATAAGATTTATCCCTTGGGGGTCAATCACCAAGCAACTTCACATCCAATCAATATGATAGCAGGACATTCTTTCAACCTGCGTTTCCACCCTAATGATGTTGGCATCTCTAATGAAATCTTTGATTAGATTCATCATGGATTCTTTCATCAGATAAATCTTATGCTAAAATAGAAGCAAGAAATTACGCAAAAGTATGTTGACCTCAGCTTTAAATTAAGTCTAATAAACTCAATTGCTTAATTTTGTAACAATCTAATTTACTTTTGTTTGTTTCCACGTAGTACTATATATTTTAACATCTTTGAAGATAGAATGTTCTCCTGATGAAGGGAATATAATGATTAAGAAAGAATTAAATAAAATCTATACTTTGAAAAAGAAGATTTCAACAAGGGCATAGCTTATAATTCAAAACAAATCGTCGCATGAGAATAACTTTGTACTATCTCACATTTTTACGGAACTGAGAAATCAAGGTTTGAAAGTTTAGAGGTATCTGTATCTTACATAGTATTGCTATGTGAAACTTGATTTTTTGTATGTCACCTGGTCTCACCCTAGAGATATCTTATATGAAATATCATACCTTGAAACAATTTACAAGATCCTTTTTTAAAACTATGGAAATGGAGTTGATACAATTTCCCACCGGAATAACAACTTATTTCTAATTTCAAATTGTCATATCTGATATCAACTGTTTCAACCAATCAACTCTCTAAGAATTGGTCATGTGACTTGCAAAACTTGGAGTTATAACAATCTTATATTAAAACAAAGTATGCCAATATGCATGTTATTGTATCTAGAATGAAAAATAATGTTTTGCTTTGTAAAAAGATCTTCAAAAACCAAAGAATATTATTTAATAAAATAAAGAAAATTCAATTTATAAAACTTTAAGATCAATTTCTCAAATAAGTACAATTATTTCTTAATTTTGGAATCTCAGGACACCCTTCAAAAAGAATTTATTGCCTTTGAAACTAAGGCAGAAGTACAATGCATTGAAACGAATGATGCCAATACGGTCCCCCGCATATTTCCCTCGGTATAAACCCTGTAGCCTAAACCTCCCAGCACATTACAATGTAGCACCTAAGGGCCGGTCCGCTGGTCATTATCAGGTTATTTTTGATACAGACCAGTTGATTTTTTCACTGGGTATAGGAGAATAACATTGCAACTGGTCCGTAATTCCATTTTGACCAGCAGGGTTCAGATCCTTAGGGCCTAAGACATAACCAATTTTTATTACATGCACATGGAAGAAATTTGAAAATAGAAAAATAATTTCTAATTCATTTTAGTTTAATGATTTTAATGATCATTTTCTGTTGTTTGCTACTCTATGGAGTACAATTGGGAATTGAAGCAATTGTAGAAGTGGAGACTAAGAGTGGCTCTTTGTAAAGAAATTGAACCAATTTGTTACTTTTCCAAAATAAAATGTTGATGATCTAAAAACAATGATCCCAAAAATGCAAAAGAAAGGACAAATCTGAAAAACATACTAGTAATAAAATAACTAAAAAGATCCCAGACATGCCAGATGTTCAGTGAAAAGCACAAAGTAAATCATAGATGAAGAGAAAATAAAATAAGTGTTTTAAGGGACTACATGTATATTAACATAAAGATAACTCCTTATTGATATAGTGTATGGTCAGTAAAAGTTAAAGCTAGTTTAAATAGATTTAGCTTTTTTCCACAAACTATAAAACATCATTTTGAAAGAGATTTCAATGGTATACAGACAGTGATTGCCTTTAACCAATGTAGTGCAAAATATGACAGTTACTATTTGTTTTGATTACTATATCTAGTATATAACCTATTATTATGCACTCTATTTGAAGAAACAAATAAGAAGTCTTTCATTTTCAACATTTAATGATGACAGCTTCGTATATGCATTTCTATTGCATTTGGCCATTCAAATCCCTATAAGACCTGGTAGCAGGGAAGATAAAGGGTACTTTTGACTGCTCACATGATGTAATTAACTGGTCATTTGTACTTTTCATCTTCCCTGGTAGCAAGGATTTAGGTTTTCGAGGAAATTAGTAATTCTATTTCATATCATGTGGCCATGAATAATCCAATGAGCATCCATAATACAAAGAGTAATTGAGGGCATATAATTTGAATATGCATGGGATTACATGTACACATACTGTATCATTTTATTTTTTTGATCTACTTGTAATAGTTCTAAAATTAAAACATGAAAGGCCAGGCATGCAAACTGGCATGGTATTGTGTTACAAAACATTATTTCATTCTAGATACAATAACATGCATATTGGCATACTTCGTTTTAATATAAGATTGTTATAACTCCAAGTTTTGCAAGTCACATGACCAATTCTTAGAGAGTTGATTGGTTGAAACAGTTGATATCAGATATGACAATTTGAAATTAGAAATAAGCTGTTTGTCTGGAGATGGTACAAGTTCACACTGAATTCTAGCTTAATGAGAGGGAATTGAGATGGGGCATGTATCTGAGATGAAAGCCTGTGTTTCAAATAGTAAAATTCCACGTCTATCTCAATTTTTTTGAAAATGGCAGTTAGTACAAAGTTATTCTCACGCGACGAAATATAGAACTGTGTATTAAAGATTGAGATGTGTCCCTTTTAGATGATTTAGCTTGATAATCCTAAGCTTTGGCTTATATTATACATACTGACCTTTTTAGCACCCAGAAGGTGAAAAAATGTTAACTATGAAATTTAATATCAGATATGATAATGTTGTAATCTATAAATATAGTCATTCTGAATTTGGTCAATTTGAGGTGTTTATTTAAGGTATATATCCAGTTTTGAACTTATTATCAGCTTAAATAATTGAAATTGAATGACAGACTATAAAAGAAATGCTCTGATCTCTGTGAGAACAAACATCTGGATATTAACTTCAATTGATACGTTTTATTTCAATGTTGGATCAAATAAATGATTTAATTATACCTTTGTGATTTAATCTCTACTCGTAACTTGTATTTTATAACTTGGCTTATCTTGTCTGATAATATCTAAGCAATAATGAGTAATGATTAGATTTATTTTGGGTAACAGGATAACAAATATAACATATTATTATATCACTCTCAAGCTAGCGACAGTATGATTGGTCAAAACCGGGTCACATGTCGTGGGATATCTGGCGATATTCAATGGCAATGCTAATCAGATAAGACAACCGTGAGATATCGAGCGATATCCCACGCTCCCGGGAATTTTCAAAGAATTTGTTTTCGTTCAGTGTAAATAATTTAGTTCAGTGTAAGTCAAAATGGCAGACGAACCGAGTAGATTCGTAAAAATATCTGAATGTATGTATGTATTTCAATGTTAACCTATGACTTAATAATATTAGGGATGTTTAGCTAGACAGTGATATAATAAAACAAATATTTCACTCTATTTTCGGTGAATACCTGTAGCACTTTCACAAGGTGATATTCCACTTGCCCTTCGGGCTTCGTGGAATATCACTTGTGAAAGATGTACAGGTATTCACCTCAATAGAGTGAAATATTTGTTCAGTATTCTATACCTGATGAGGTTTCAGGGAAATATCATCTGGGAATATATTCCATATCCAGGCAAATATTTCTCGTATGTCCCGGTCCAACAAGGATCCGGGACATATAAATCGTATCCCGCATAAGCCATTCTCCGGGACATATGAAGGCTATGTTGGGATATTGTATATCTTGTCCCTCTGGAATATATATTGTATATCCAACGGGATATTCCCGGTATCCAAAACCTCTCAGTGCATAAACCCTATATATTTATTTCATAGCAACTTTGGCAAATTGAATATAATTAATGAGGCAAATTTTGAAGCTTATCATGAAAAGGTTCAAGCCAAGGACTATGTGTCTTTAAGTGCAGATGGTAACAACAAAAAAAAGCACATATTTCAGCCAAAGTTTTTATTAATATATCATATTCAGCTTAATGTCCCATTTAAAGGATTTATCATAGAGGAAAGGATTCTCTGGGAAGATAATTAGCAGTATATGGAACGTAAATATATCTCAATTTATTTCATAAATGCAAAATAAAACCTGATTGATATACCTAATTCTTATGTCGGAAGGAAGCTTTCAATATTTTACCTCCATTATTTAAGATTCTAATTTGAGCATTAGGTTTTGCATGTTACTTATTGTTCTTCGTCCCTTTTTCACTTATAATGTCATTGTTCATTACTTTTAAGAGCACTTAGGCTGGCGTAAGCATGTGTGTCTGACACTCCATTATTAAATGCAGGAAAGAAGTCACAAATTATAAAGATATTGTTTTTTGGTTTACATCAAGCGAAATATCCTGTATCACATCTGTGTAGTTCAATACCCTTTGGAATGAGATTTCTACTG